AGTAGTCAATTTGGTTCAGGTTTTTTGTTTTTACTTTTCCAAAGTCTTGAATTATATCATTAAGTCACTTATTTGTGCTCTTTCTGATATATTTTTTAAGGTAAACAGATACTCCAGGCTGTAAACATACTGCTTTAGAATGTTCTTATTGTGTTCCAGGGGAGTTTGTTGTGTTTTCATTTTCATTTAATTCCAGGAAATTTTTCATTTCTTGATTTTTTTTTTCTTTGAACTGTTCATCATTCAACACTGAGTTAGTTAATCCCATGAAGCTATATATTTACAAAAATATTTGTTTGCTGCTAATTTTCAAGTTTTATTACCTTATGATCAGATGGTGTACACAGTTATTTTGACCTTTTTTTAATTTTTAAAGGTTTCTTTTGTGACCCATTGTGTAGTCTATTTTAGAGCAGCTTCCATGTGTTTGGATGGAAATTTCAGTAGCTTTCTTTTAAGTCTATTTTACATAAGATATAATTTAATTCTAAGGTTTCTATGTTTAATTTGTCCACATGACCTGACATTTGCAAAAATGACCTACTAATAATGGTTGTTGTTAATCTATATTTTTAAATTCAGTAGTTCATATTTTATGAAATTGAGTGCACTAGAATTTGGTGAATAGGTGTTTGGGATCCTAAAATGTTCATAGATATTTCCTGGGTTAGAATAACATGGCTTTCTTTATCTATTTGATTAACCTTAGTTTGAACTCTACTTTGTCAACTATTAGTACAGTGATTCCTCCTTGATTTCTGGTCCCATTTGATTAGAGTACTTTTGTCCATCCTTTACCTCCATGATGTTCCTTATTTTTAAAGCTAAGATGTTTTTCTTATGGGCATTACAGAGAGGGAACTTGTTGATCCATTGAGCCAACCTGTGTCCTTTCATTGGAAAACTGAGGCTATTGATATTTAATGTTGTTAAAATATGTGTGTTAATTGTGGTTATTGTGTTGTTGTATGTATTCTCAGTGGTATTTTGTATGTTGGTAATTATGACTTTGTATTTCTTTACACAGTTTCTTGGTAATACCCATCCCTCTCTTCAACCTAAAATATTTCTTGCTGCATTTTCTTAAGCTGTTTTTGTTGAATATAAATTCTTTTAGAATATTTTTAAAATTTTAATATGTATATTTTGTTTAATATTTTTAAACAAACAGTAAATTTTTCTTATTTGTAAAAAGTATTATTCACTTTGGATACATTACTATTACTAAAACCATATATATTGTCTTCTTTTACTTTTATTAATTCTTTGTGGATCATGCATTCCAATCCCACTTATCTCCCCTTGTATTTACCCTCTGTCCTTGCAACCCCCACCCGCACCCCCCAAAAAAAATAAAAAAAAAAAAAAAACAAAGAGAAAAAAGTAGGAAATGTGGTGTCCATGGCTCCAGTTGCCACTGAGGTTTCTCATCAGAAACCTGGGGTCTAGGTAGCCACCCAGGACCATGTTGATACCCAGGGGCCATGCTGCTATTAGGCCCATGCCTTAACATCTACAGAAAGTTTTCCTTTCTCCTTCAACTTTATGGAATGGTTTTGCTGGCTAGTCTAGTTTGGCCGTCATGGTGTTTTAGAACTTAGAATTCAGTGCTCCAGTCTCTTATGAGTTTTACATTTTTCACTAAGAAATTGGGTGTTATTCTGATTTTTTTCCCTCTGATTGGTACTTGTACTGGTTCTCTTGTAGCTTTCAATATAACTTTCCTTTTTCTGTTTAATTTTAAAGCTATAATAGTCATGGAGCTTTTCATTTCTTGTCTTGTTCATTTAGTATTCTGTTTCTAATATATATATATATATATATATATATATATATATATATATATTCATACATCTCCTTAGTTTTGTTCTGTGATCTTGAGGAAGAGATGACTCCATTCATTGACTTGGGATTCTTGTCCCTCATCAATTCCTATAATTCAAAAGTTTGGCCTTTCTATGATGTTCTGCTTTTCTTGTATATTCATTTCATGTTTTTGAACATATTCTTTTGCTCATTAGTCTGCATCTTCTATGTATCTTTGAGTCATGATATTCTATTTTTTACTTGATTCACTCTTCTTGTAAGGCTTTGTTTTGAGTTTTCTTGTTGGGTTATTGGGTTTTTCAATTTCACCTTCATTTCGCCTTAAATGTTCTTCAATGTTTCTGTCTTTATTGAGTTCCATTTTCAAATCCTGAATTGTCTTTCTCATTTCCACTACCATTATGTTTGTGGTTTTTGTACATCACCCAGATGTACAAAATTTGTTTTTCTTTAAGTTCTTTTTTAAATTTCATTGATATAATTTCTTTTTGTCTTTAAACTCGTTGAAATCTTTGAGGATGTTCATGATTGTTCTATTAAGTTCTATATCCTGTCGTTCAAGTATGAAATTTTTATTAGCAAAAATTTCTATGGGAAAGTCAGGCAGTTGTGGTGCATACTTTTAATCCCAGCACTTGGGAGGCAAAAGCAGACAGATCTCTGACTTCTAGACCAGTCTGGTCTACAAAGCAAGTTCTAGGACATTCTGAGCTACAAAGAAACCCTGTCATGAAAAAGAAATTCTAAGGGACTGGTGGTTTTTTGTTTAGTTTAGTTGTGGTTTGGTGTGTGTGTGTGTGTGTGTGTGTGTGTGTGTGTGTGTGTGTGTACAAGTAGGAGTAGTATTCCTCTGATCATCCATGTTGTTTGTGTTTTTCCAATGTTATCCTTGCCGGTGAACTTCTTTTATTAGTTTCATGTCTGATAATAGAGAAAGCAGATTGGAGCATAAGAGAAGATGTGCATACTGGGTTGGGCCAAATGGTTGTCTATACTTTAGCTTGAATGAAGAAGGGCATGGGTAATTGGGATAATATGTAAAATGTGCATTCTAGTCCAAAACTGGGGTGTGGAAAAAGATATAGGATTTGGGGAAAGGTGTGTGCTGGAGAGGAATACTAGGAATCACCTGGCTAGATCCTAGAGCAGCATCAAGTTGTATGGCAAGGTGGTTGTGGTGTAGAAGGGGAATGTTGGTCAGGAGAAGCCAGGTAGGTCCTGGCAGAAGCCTAAGGTTTGCTTACAGTCTAGTCAAAGGTGGCCATACATATCTGGGGCACATATGTATGATCCTACCTATCTATGGGAGAACTTAGGGGTGTGTTTGGAAGGAGAAATCAGAAGGATTCAATGAGCTAAATCCTGGAGAATGATGTGTAGGGTGGCATTTAGTGGAGAGATTGGAAGTGGTAGGGGAGGGACCTATGTATCAGAGCAGGCAGGGTAGGAGGATAAGCCCTAGTCAAAGCCTAGAGGTTAGTTGTTTCACAGGCAGGGATATTAAGAAAAGGCTAGGGCACTCAGCAAAAGCTGAGCTGACTCTGAGAAAGCAGAATGTGTAGGGTGTTTGGATGAGAGGAATGGGAAGGTTCATCCAGCTTAATCCTGAAGAGAGATGTAAAGAATCTGTACCAGTTTCCCCTCTGACATCTCAGTGTGTCAGCCTGTCTGGCCTGGAACTCAGTATGTAGACAAGACTGGCCTTGAACTAACAAAGGTCATCTTGCTTCAGACTAGAGTACTTTGACTAAAGACAAGTGTGCAGGTTGGAGTGAACATGGGACTCACAGACTAATATATAATGTCTTGGTACAATGTCCCATTAATTTCTCCAACTTTAAAATCTCTACTTATAGATCACAATGTATGCCTAAAGTAGTCCATAGATATGTCAGCAACTAAAAAACCAGAAATTTTTTGTTTTTGTTTTATTTTATATGTATGATGTATGTTTTATCTGTCTGTCTGTCTGTGTGCCTGCTGCCAAAGAAGACCAGAAGAGGGCAATGGATTGCCTGGAACTGGTGTTACAGACAGCAGTAAGCTACTGTGTTTGATGCAAGGAGCCAACTCTAGGTCCTTTTTTAGAGCAGCAGACAATCTTTACCACTGACCCATCTCTCTAATCCCTGTCAACAACATTATTGAAGTATGTTCTTCCCTTTTGATTTATCATGGTTCTCAAACTGAAGAAGGTGAATTTCACACACTGCTAGTGTGAATCATGTTATCCCAATACCTTTCTCTTCACATCACAAAATATTGCAGAATGACAATGGGGTTGGGCAGAAATCCACATTCTATATTCAGGTTCTGTGACTGAGATCATACTTTGATCCGTGCAAGTTGTGTTATATTAGGCAAGTCACTGAATTATTTCTTGGCTCAGTTTTCTCATAAAACCACTGTAAATTTGTATAATGTAAGTCCCCACATGTTATTGAATGTAAAATGTTTTATCGGCTATAAATACTGTGAAGAAATCACCTGTAATAGAATAAAACAGAACACATAAGAGCACACTGTACTAATGCAAGATATTGCTATGTTCCCCACTGGTTCCGTTTTCGAGTTTTCTTGTGAATTAAAGTGTACATGTGCTTTGTGTGTGAGAGAGGGGAGGGGAGGGGAAGAGGGAGAGAGAGAGTTGGTTTGAATGTCAAATGTCCCCTGTAGGCTAATGTGTTTTAATGTTTTATTCCCAGATGGTGGTGCCATTTGAAGTGTTGTGAAACCTTTATGATTTGGGGCTTCTGTGGTTTGAGTTTGAGTTAATTTTGTTTTCTGGATCTTTGTTTTTGTCTTTTCTAGATGGGCTTTCTTTCACTCTTCTGTTTCCCTATCTGCCTGGATGTGCACACGCAGTCTCACATTCATTACCATGCCTTTCCTGTGAGAACGGACTGTATCCCATCTAACCATGAATGAAAATAAGGCTTTCCTACTTTAAGTTGCTTCTTGTCACTTACTTGGTCACAACCACCAGAAAATTACTAATCTACTCTCCTAGTAAAATCTCTTGCTTGCTGAGGTTGTAATTAAAAAATATTGGAAACCCTTATGCCAGTGTCCACAGTGACCAAATCCATTGTTCTAAACACAGACCCTTCTGGGAATGGAATGTGAATGTGCATGTGAGCTCTGGCTGTAACTTAAATGAACTTCTTTTACAGAGGGAGACAAAAGGGCAGTTTCTTATTGAACACATCTGCAACTACTACAGCTTGCTGGAGAAGGACTACTTTGGAATACGCTACGTGGACCCAGAGAAGCAAAGGGTAAGAGCCTATCTTGATCTCAGAACTATGAGGTTAGGGGAGGCCCAGAATGTCAGGCACTGTGGGATCATTTCAAGAACACTTATAGTACCTTTGTCCTCATATATTATCAGCATGAGAAATAAAACAGCTTGTGGATGTATGGCTGGAAGACTGCCCTTCAGAAAGCTGGTTTCACATGAAGAGATGCTCCTATGCTTTTTAATTTAGACTTTGCAAACATACTCAGACTATTTGTGTATAATCTGTTTATGAAGAATACATACATGTGCACACCATATGAACATATTTATTGGCAGAGGTGGATTTGGTAAAGAGAAGTTTCATTATGGAGTAAAGCAAATGTTTGAAGTCTGATATAAGTGAAGCTTGTCCAATACAGTCAGTGACGATGATATGTATATTTTTTTTTTAAAAAAAAATGTTCATTTCACATTATTTGGAAAAGACTATTGGGTGAGATGGTAAATCTCTATATGGAAGCAGGAAAGAGAACCTTGCATATTGCTCATCAACAAACACAGCTTTATAAGAGCATTGGAATCCACAAACTGCTACCCTTCACATACAGTGGCATTGCATGAACAGAAGCTTGACTGCCAAAACCTGGGTAAATAGTGGGAGATGACAAATAGCTACAGAAGGCATTGGAATAGTACAGGGATTGAATGTGTGTGTTTGTGTGTGTGTGTGTGTATGTGTGTGTGTGTGTGTGTGTGTGTGTGTGAGAGAGAGAGAGAGAGAGAGAGAGAGAGAGAGAGAGATAGATCAAAAAAGCTGTCAGTTTGATGGAAATTGAGGAGACAAGAAACATGGGAAATGATGGAGGGAGTAATGGGAAGATGGGAATTATATTTTATTTAAAAAATGGGATTAATCTACTTGCTTCCAGTAAACGTTACCACTATCAAAACTAATCTCAAATTTCAGATGAAGGATGAAAAACGTATATCAAGTAAATTGAACTAGAAAGAAAAAAATCACTTGTTGTTCTGGTACCTGAAAAATAGATTTCGAATTAAAATTAGTAAAAAGACATAAAAAATATCTCTTTATATTGGATGAACAGGACAATCCGCATTGCAGATTACAATTCTAAACATAGATTCTCTAAACACATCTCTCATAAGAGAGTTGAGAAAATGTTGAATGGGAGGCAGATTTAGTCCCTGAGTAAAGAATGTGATGAGTAAAAAAAATCAACATAGAGTATAACCTGGGATAGGACCAGAGAAACAAAGCAATAAATCTACCAAGGAGATAAGCATTCGGGTCAGTAATTTCATTTCCTCCTATCTATCTCCCTCCAGCCTGCTCTCTTTCCTCCTACTCCAAAGCTATTCAGTATCTGCCACCATTTTTATTTTCTTATGTCTCCACCCAGCTCTTCTCCCCCCAAACAAGTTCTTTCTTTCTTCCTTTCTTCCTTTCTTTCTTTCTTTCTTCCTTCCTTCCTTCCTTCCTTTCTTTCTTTCCTTCCTCTTCCTTTATTTTCTTTTCCTTTTTCTTATTTTTTTAATGGTTTTTCAAGACAGGGTTTCTCTGTGTAACAGTACTGGCTGTCCTGGAACTCACTTTGTAGCCCAGGCTGTCCTCAAACTTACTGAAATCTGCCTGCCTCTGCCTCCCAAGTGCTGGAATTAAAGTGTTTGCTACCACCTCCCAGCTGTTTCTTATTTATTTAATAAAGCAAATCAATGTAACAGGCTGACATTTTACCCTACTGTTCATGCTATTAAGGATGTACATACACTCTCCCTTGACCTCTTTCTTTTTTTAATGCTTTTTCCCCTTTTTTCCTATATGCATTCCTACTATCATATAGCCAAAGCCCAGAGGCTGACCTTATTACAATATCTGAAGACATTTGTTCATTCACTCTTTTTAATCTACCTTATACATCTCTCCCCAGTTTGCCTCCTTATTCTCATTCTTTTTTTCTATCTCCCATCTAACAACAAAATATTAATAATTAGTCTCATTGATATAGCTTACTTCCACTTCTCTTCAATACCACAGATATAAGTAGTAACTAAAATGTTACTGCATACAATATTATGAGGATCCCTTTACTACTTAGATCAATTGGGACTTTAGAAGTACCTGTTATATATCAGTGGGTTAACTACTGGATAGGAAATATTATAGAAAATAGTGTTCAACCCATAAGGGCAGACTGGAGAAGATTGACAAGCGAAAATACCACTACGACCATACTACAACTGTCTGAGTTAATTGCTGTGAAGATATACCATGGCCATGGCATCTATTATAAACAAATGGGCTGGCTTACAATTCAAAGATTTAGTCCATTATTGTCATGGCAGCAAGCTTGATGACATGCAGGCTGATAAGTGCTGGAGAAGAAGCTGAGAGTTCTACACCTTGATTAATAGACAACAGGAAGAGATTGTGACACACTTCCTCCAACAAGGCCACACCTATTTCAACAAGGTTACACCTCCTAATAGTGCCACTTTCTATAGGCCTATGTGGGCCATTTTTATTCAAACCATCACAATAACCATATCTGTTTTTCTCATTATTTATTAGCTGCTACAACCTTGTATAGCTCTTCGGTTGCAGCGTTATTATTGTGCAAGACAGAATAGATTCTCATTTTAATTTGAGACAGGGTCTCACATTTACCGTAGACTGGCCTCAAACTCTTCTATTCCTCAGGCTTCAGGTTTGTATACTCTATAGGCATGTGGTTCTGTGGCATCATTCTTACATAATTTTGACTTGGTTTGATGTTTCCATTTCTGTGGCTCAGACTTGGAGCCTTCTACATGCTAGGCAAGTATTCTACCATTGTTCTAAGGTAATGAGGATAAATTCCTTTTGGAATAAATTTTTATACTAGTAGCTGAATTTTATAACTCTAATTTCTATTATTATGGTTTCATATGTACGTTGTATTAGAGTTCCCTCCATATTTTTGTATCCTGTTGTGGGATATTTGTTTACACTGTGTAAAGATGTGTCCTTGTGATTGGTTTAATAAAGAGCTGAATGTACAATAGCTAGGCAGGAAAGAATAAGCAAGACTTCTGGGGAAAGAGAAGAACTCAGGATGAATCTAGACACACAAGAGATGTGCCAGCAAGATACTGAAGAACATATGATGCAGAGGACAGATGAGAGGTAACTGAGCCATGTTGCAGAATGTAGATTACAAAATATAGGTTAACTAACTGGTGCTAGGGAAACTCCCAAAGATCTGCAAGGAGAACCCCAACTAAGACTCCTAGCAATAGTGGAGAGGATACCTGAACTGGTGTACCCCTGTAATCAGATTGATAAATACACCAACTATCATCATAGAGCCCTCATTCAACAACTGATGGAATGAGATGCAGAGATCCACAACCAAGAACTAGGCCAAGTTCCAGAAATCCAGGCAAAGAGAGGGAGAAGGGAACATGTAAGCAAGGGAGGTTAAGATCATAATGGAGAAATCTATAAAGACAGCCGAACCAAGCTCATTGAAATTCATGGACTCTAGACCTACAACTGACCCTAGACCAAACTATACCCTCCATGTGTGGGAGACAGTTATGAATCTTGAACTATCTGAGGGGTCCCAAGCAGTAGGACCATGATACAGACCTGGTATGAGCTGGCTTGTTGAAGCCCATTCCTTAGAGTGAGATGACATGCTCAGAGGCATAGGACCACAATACAATCCCAGTATATGAGCTAGCTTGTTGGAGCCCATTTCTGATGGTAGGATGCCATGCTCAGTCTTAATGCATAGGAGAAGAGCCAGGCCATGCCCCAACCTATTATACCAAATTATGTTGACTCTTCATGGGAACCCTTACAGGTGAGGAGGAGTAGGCTACGAGGGAGGTGAAGGAGGGTGGGAGAAGGCAAGAAGAGTGGGAGGGGTGGGAGGGAGAATTGTGGTTGGAATATAAAATGAAATCAAAACAAAAATAAAATTGGAAAAAATAAAAATAAAATAGGAAAGCAAAAATAAATTAATCATGATGCACACACACACACACACACACACACACACACACACAAAGAAAAGTGGGTTAATATAAAGGAGTAAGGTTTTTCCTCCCGCCGCTTGGTCTTGTACCGCCGCTGCGCCAGCTCCAAATAAAACACCAAAACCTTGTATTAGATATAATTCTGTTGGCCAGTTACTTGTTTCTTATCAGCTAGCTCTGTCTTAAGTATTAACCCATTTCTATGTATTTCCACGTGGTCTTACTGAGAGTGGAGGAATGGCGGTTCTGTTCTCTCCAGACTCTCCATGTTGACTCCTACTTCCTACTTCCTCTTTCCTCCTTGTCTCTTAGTCCCTCCTATCTTCATTTCCTATTGGCCAACAGTGCTTTATTCATTAACCAGTATGAGAAACATATATACATAATGGCATCTCCTATCATCTCCTCTTTTCTGTCTAAGTAAAAGAAAAGGTTTTAACCTTAACATAGCAAAATATATCACACAACAATAATCAAGTAAGAATCACAGTTAACATTATTTAGTTCATCTCCCATCAGGTTAATTTGAGTTACAAGAGCTAGTTGACAAAAAGCTTAAGCTAAGGCTTTCATAATTAAAAAGTCTTTGTGAGCTGGTGGCCTAAAGGAAAGACTGAATATAGCACCGAATTAAGCCACACCTAGGCTGTAGTTGATTGGTTTATATTCTGAAGTACTTGGTATTGGTACCTCCTCTCAATGTAAGTAAACACAGCCTAAGCTTTTTATGTAGGATGTCAGATAATGAGTCTATTGCTGCCTTATTAATAACAGGAAAAAAATCTTGTCTGTATCAAAATAGTTTACTTTTCCTACAAGCACCTTAAGGAGGACACAGAATGGAATAAGCTATTGGAATGGTGGCAGGAAGCCAGATGGTATTATGTTCCACCACCTGCTCCTGCTATTGAAAGGCTGCTTTCTTCTGGTCGCCTTGGGATAATTGCTTCTCACGTGCTCATCACTGAGGATAGGAGAGGAACCAAAGATTTAGGA